CAGGAGAGGTCTGCCTTGCCATGTGGATTACCTTCGGGGCTGGGGGTCAAACCCGCACTGAAGCAGATGCGGTCAGCTTGCAATGCAGCTTCCTAACCCATTGCGCCACCAGGGAGGGCCCTCTTTTTAAATTTTTGTATTGAATCGTTATCCAAAATTTTTTCTGTTTCAGTCCTTACAGTGCTTTATATTATCCCTACTAGTAAGGTACTACTTTCCTTTTTTAAATTTTTTTTAGTTTTGAGAAGTTAGTCTTTTCCATCCAGGATTGTTGTATCTCAGTTTTCCGTGGAATTATTTTATTACCATTTATCAGATAAAATTCACATCATTGTGCTGTAGTGATTACCTTATACATCTCTCATGTGGAATATTCGCTTTGAATTTACTACAGTTTCCTGCTTGTTGAATTCCTATTCATTCATCATAATCTCTTTTTCACTGTAAGGGCTTGTTCATATGCTCTTTCCTGGTGTCTCTTTCCATACTCTCTGTCCCTAGCCAGACACTTTTCTCCCAGTTGGCACAGCACTGCATGTGAATGTTTTCACGGTACTTTATTTTATGTTGGGGCATAGTAATCACCACAGTGAGACTGGAGACCTCCAGAGAGCGGCACATGGCACCTGGCAGGGTGTCTTGTTTTGGTACTGTGTGCATAGTAAACTTCCGAATAAATTACTGATGTGTGTATTTTTTACATCTGTATGCATTGGATCTATTTTGGTTTTTCTGTTTTCCCCTGACTGTATACCAGTTTCACTATTTTAGTTATTACTGAGTAGGATGAGTCTTTCTCATCTCCTTCTAAAATTTTTTTTTACATATTTGATGTTTTTTTCCTCATATGAATATAGAATAATTGTTTCATGCTCTTAAAACTTATTTGGATATTTGTGGATTATATAATAATGTACTTTGGTGTGTCTGATTGGGCCATAGTAATAGGTCCTTAAATTTCAATGCTCTTTCTCTTTCTGAGATTGCCTTTAAGATTGATTTGTGTGTGTTTAGGGGAGATTAAACAAATTGAGTTCAATTAGATTTTGTCACATAGCAAAACGAAGGAGAAATGCAATCTAGGTTTTGTAACCAGTTAGATTCATGTAGTATCATTTATAATACTCAAAGATATAAATGTGGGTGATAGAATGCTAAGAAGTCATAACTCTTTATGTTTTGTGTTCTGCTGGAGGCAAAGAAAGTTTTAACACTTATTTGATTAACCTGTAGGTTTGTGCATTGTAAGATGCCTGGATTATCCTATTTACATATTATTTAATATTCACTGTTGATGACCTGACATTTGGTTTCTAAGGATGAAAGCTATTACAAGTGTTTTATTGTTTCTTGGTTTAAGCATTAGAAAGGATAAATAGATTTTTTTCTTAATAGTTTTTGCAAATGGCATCAGTTTTTCCCTGTGGTTTGTGAAAGTACCCAGCCAAGCCATTTATTTTGTTTATTTCTGGGGTAACTGAAGTGAACCTTAGAGAAGGGTGCTTTTCTTTGGCAGGAAAAACAGAAATTCATTTCTTAACGTAGTAACATTGACCCAGGAGTTTTTGAGTAATAGTTATGGCTCCTGCTCATCATCAGCCAAAACATATTTACCTCTGGGCTAAACTTGGTGTTTCTAAAACATTGAAAATTAGTGATAACATCTGAAATTATAATGAACGTCACCAAAGAATCCCCTGCATCTTTAGGGTGGCCTGTTAATAGCATTGGCATCGCCAGATTAAACATGCATGTTTTTGTTCCAGTTAGCACTTGTAATGTGGCCCTGGCATTGAGCTTTGCCACTCCTCTTCAAAAGGTTCTTTAACACTTTCACACAGAATAGATTTAATATTTCTCATGCAGCTCTGTCTTCAGCTTTGGGTTAACAGGAGATAGAATAGTAGGTGTGAAGATTTTAGGTAGTGACTTTGGATATGGAATGTCAGATGTGAGAGGAAAAGATAGTTGCAGAGGAATCCCAGTTTTTACTTGAGCAACTGGAAGAATAGAGGTGCTTTCACATGAGATGGCAAGGGGTTCAGGAGGGGGAGTTTTACAGGTAGATGAGATGATTTCACTTTCAGATCTGTTGAGTTTGAGATACCTATTAAAGCATCCCAGTGGTTATCTTAGTGTGGAGTTGGAGAGAAATGTCTGCACTGAGTCTATCAATAGATTTGAGAATCACAGATGAAATGTATAGTCATGAGATAGAATGATAATCTCACAGGGAGCAGAGGACCCAGGGCTGACCTCTGGGGCATGGCACCTTCAAGGGTTTGAGAGAAGACAAGGTCAGTAAAGGAGATCAGAGGGGAGCATCCATTGAGGTGAGATGAAAAGGAAGGAGTGGGTGCCCAGAGGGCAAGTGTCTGAAAAGCAGAACCTGCAGCAGGAACTTGTAGATGCTGGTAGCTTTTGGGTACCGGTTATGTGGGTACATGTTAACAAGAAAGAGAAGTTGGCGACCTGGGGCAAGTGAAACCTGGAGGAAGTCAATCCAAGTGTTAGAACCTGGTCATTGTTGTGAGCAACAGGACTTGATCCTGAGCAAGCCTCTGAGAAGATGTGAGTAATAAGCCTCAGAGTGAGAAGGGGGACTTAATCTACCAGAGCCCATCTGTTACCAGCCAGGGGTGGCCCAAAGGGTGTTGGTGTTAACACCTTCACACTCTAGGTTCTGTGTGTCTTAGACTTGTTGCAGAACTCTTGAGCAGAAAGCAAGCCCCAGTAGTGCAGTTCAGGTGACAGTGAAAATGTAAGCTGGTTTTATACAGCCCCGCTTCGTGTACCTTTCTTTAAACACTTACTGTTTGGTCTGACCTTCTACTACAAAGTTTTCAGGGTCTGCATTAGATTTACAACAGGAGATTAATAACATGCAGTACAGATATTATTCAAGTCTTCCACCACTTAGTCTAGATTTTCTGCAGCACTTTGTCGGGATGAGTTTTTTTCCTACTAGGGTGACAGAGACCACCTTCCTTCAGAGATGAGTGCATTTAGTTGCTCTATCCTCATTAGGCCATGGTTGCTGCAAGATAGTATTACTCATCATGGCAGAGCAGCTTTGATCAAGCCATCTAGGTACTCTGTGGATGCCCTTTTGTCCCCTTTGGGGAGCAGCAGCTGTAATTCCTCAAGGCTGGTAGGGGGAGTGTGCAGGATTCCTATCCCCCATAACCCCAATATGATAACCCCTTCTTTAGCATGTTGGTCCTTTTCACCTAACCTCAGTAGAAGCTGAAATGACCAGGCAGTACTAACTGCCTCAGATGTTATTCTGTGTCTCCTGGCAGGAGCCCCTCTCTCTCTCCCCTCCATAACCAGAATTTCTAACCCAGTGGAGTTCTGGATTAAGCCCTGATAGTGAATTGGGTACATTTCTTGGATACCTATCAGTCTTTGAATGTCTTTCTCAGGGTTTTTCTTAGTCCCACTCCCAGTAGTCCTCTGGAGGTAGTTATTGAGGTAATCCTAGAATCATCTAACATATGCATGTGATTTGTGATAGCCTTCAAGCACTTTATAGTCTGAATTAGCTTTAATAAAATTAAACTTGTTTTTAAAAGTTTGATAATGCTTCAGACCTTTTTCCTTTTTTCTTTCTTTAGATAGTGGGACAAGGACTGAATCACCAGCACTGGCTGAAGGTAAATACGTCGTTGGCGGGAATGATTATTCAAATTCAACTGAAAAGTTATAGTTTAGTGAAAATCTATATTAGTTAGGCACAATTTAAGAGAAATGTTCTTCTGTCCAAAACTCAACTGTTAAAAAGTGTTTTTAGGAAAAACCCTGTTTTAAGTTTCTGGCCTAGATAGGAAGTGGTGGGGAAAATGCAAATTTTTTTATAGCTTTCTTTCAGTAGGTTTGTATTTTCCTTTGAATTTCTTTTTAAGCCATTTGAGCTTTCACCAGCATAGTTGACCAGGAAAGGTCTAAGCCACTTCCTTGTAGTTGAAACTATTTCTTTGGAAAATAGAAGGGAACATATGTGCATACTATTGTAAATATGAATTCTACTTATTAATGGTAATTGATTTTAAAAGTCTTGAAAGAAGACTTCAAGAAAATAAGACATCAAGAAAATAATTATACAGTTAAAGTGTCTTATGTATTTAAGCATTTATAATCCTGTAACCATTTTAATTATAGCAAACTAACAGGTATTTGAAAATGTTATTTTTTAAAATAATGCATTGTGTTCTTAAAGGAAAATGATCACATTAAAATCTTTCTCTGTGCTCTTCCTGGTCCTAAAGAGCTTATTCCTTTTCAAAGCTTGTCTACAATTTTAGTCAACATGGTGGACCTTTGGAATTACTATCACCTCACCTACTCTCTGTTAAAAAATACAGGAGTTCTCAACCATTTTTTGTGTGTGTGTGTGTGTGCCGTGGGACCTCTTTGGTAATATGATAAAATCTCTTCTCAGAATAGTCTAATAATGATCTGAAAATAAAATAAAATACCTAGGGTTATAAAGGAAAAATGTTTAAATATGGTAAGCACTTATTAAAAATGTTTCTTATATTAGAGAATAAGTTTTAGCAACAATTTTGCTAAATGGTGTAGTTTTTAATAGTGATAAGTTTGCATTAATTATAACATGGAAATACCTGTGATTTCTATTAGTGACCAATTCATAGGTATTTCTGTTACTACTGTTGTCTATAAATAATCTTGATTGGAAGATTTTACATAGAGGTTGGGGAACTGTTCCCATCCAGATTCACAGTCTATTCTCTCTGTGGATTCTAGATTAAGAACTCCTATGAGCAAAAAGTTAGCCCTTTCTCTCTTCCTTGAGGAAGGATAGTTTTTAATGTTCTTTATAATCTTAAAGAAATAGAGTTATATATCCAATTCCTTAAAAATATTCTAATGGCATGGGCTTGAAGTCCTTGAAACATCTTTGAAAAAGCTTCCTGATTACTGGCCAGTCACAGAAATAAGTGTATTTTGTGGGAAAGGGAGTTAAACTCTCCCTTGGAGAGTTACTGCCTTCAGAGAACTCACATTCTCATTCATGCAACAAGGCTAAACATCCACAAGTAAAATATCAGTTTGAAATGCTAAATTTTACAAGACAAGTGCCACAATTGGCTTGCCATAGGGAGAATGAGTGAATTATGTTTTTGTTCTGGGGGCACAACAGAGGGTCATGACTTGTGAAAGTTACCAAATGGTTTGTAGTACTGAGGAGAATGAACTATACATGCCAGCCTTAACTAGGCTGGAAGGGTGTCTGGAATATGAATAAATACACAGCACCTTAGCTGACCACAGGTAAAGGGAATGGCAGTTATTGAAACTTGATTGGCCTCAGAACAACACTTCTGTTTATTTTGAAGGGGATAGGGTAGGATACCTGATTTGGGTTATTTTGGTTATGGCACATTATTCTGTCAATGTGATCGTGGTACCCTGTTTTAAAGATGGTCTCAGAAGTTGCACTGATCATAGATTAAGCTCTACTTTTAAAAGAGTAATTTGTGGCTTTTGCCCACATCAAGTTTTTCTAGACTTCAGTTCCTTTCTTTAAAGTTAGAAAGTTGAAAAAAAAAATTAGAGAGTTGAGCCACATGGTTTTAAGTGGTTTGATGAACCCTGTATTCTGGGCTCAGACTGCCTATCTTTTCTCAGTCCCTTTTTTTCCTTTCACCCTCTTCTCCTTTTTCTTTCCCAGCAACTTTAGACATATGGTAAACATGTTCAGATCACATAGTTAATGTGAATTTTGGCATTTATTGAGTATTGCTCTTATATATGATAAGAAACTGTTAAATAGCATTCTTAATTCAGAAAAGTTTAACTCATATATACATATTACATTGTGGTGTTATTTAATTTCAAAAACCCATTGAAAATATGCTTCACTATACTGAGAATAGAGTACCTCCTTTTTTTGTTAAATCAAGTATTTATTTATTTTTTGTTAAATCAAGTATTTAATGTAATCAGCTTTTACTTGTTATTCAGGGAAAGGTCATTTTAAAAGTAGTCATGGAATAAGTTATTAAAACTTACTCAATGAATATGTCTCTACTCACCAATGAACTGAAGTACAATAATATTTTTTAAAAACAATATAATTTGGCCCTCCCTGGTGGCGCAACTGATTAAAACACAGCACTAAGAAGCTTAAGCCACTCCCCACTCCTGCATGAGTTTGATCCCCGCCTGCCCGGGAGGAGACCCACATGGCGTGGCAGACCTCTCCTGACCTGCCCGCTGCTCCCCTCAGCAGTGTACTTTGTCAGTCGTCCTGTTCTGCTCCCCACTCTGTCTCTCGTGAATCCTCTCACCCTCTGCATCTCTGGCCTGTATCCCAGTTCTGTATGCATAAATAAATAAATTTTTAACAAAAGAATAATAATATAATGGAAAACATATGTGCTTATAATTGCCACTTCTCTATAAGATCAAAATGTAATGAATGTCCTCTGTTGGGATTTTTCAGCATTATAAAAGATACTACTCTATAAATTTAGAAAAATTAATCAAGTATATTCTTAAAAATATTACCAAGAAAATATATGGTTTATTTTTGTATTCTGTTTGATTTTGATGAGCCAGAGGAGTGATTTGATTTATGTTCAAGAACAAGGGATTTGAGTATCTTCTTGTAATTTTATCCTGTTAATTCCTTCTGAGAGTGAGACCCTGAAGAGTGGTAGAGAAATATTTAAGGACATTTCTTAGCATCTGTTGCTTTTCCTACTTATTTTGTATTTTTTTTCTGTGGGAATTTGATTCCTAATTTAGACATTTTAGTACTAGTACTTGTACTAGTATTGACTTAATAACTCTTTCAGAAACACTTAAAATTTTTCTCAATATATTTGGATGAATTGTGTGTACTTTATTAAGACTAAGAACCAGTATGGCACAATGATTATAAGATAGCTGTTGGGAACCAGATTTGCTTGAGTGAGAATTCCAACTCTGTTGTTTACTAATTATTGACCTTGAATAAGTAAAACTGAAGTTACAAATTCTTGAACCTGCAAATCTTTCTTACTTACAGGCTTCTCAGAAGTAAAAGGAGGATTGCAGTGTTACCTGATAGCATAGTTGGGCATTATGATACTATACATTCAGTATTTAGCATAGTGTGTGGCAGACAGTAAAAGATGTTGACTTTCAGTCTGTGCTTAGAGCACCCAAGACCCTCTGGAATGTGTTTCAGGCATAAAAGTTAAGTTATGCAATGGGGGAAGTGGTTCTGTTGCCCCTAGTTGTTTTGATCTATAACGTTTAACAAAGTCTTTATAGTAAGTAATTCCTAAGTAACCACTTCTAGACTTAAATTTCTTTTGGAAGATAATCATCATAATTACTACACAGAAAGGAGTTAACCTTGTTTGTATTTGTTTTTCTTAGGTGAGAGTATGTGTATGTGTGTATGTATGTATGTTTGTATGTATATACTTCATGGGTAAGTTTTGCCTCATTTTTATGTATTTTAAGAAACTCCAGGTGTTTAATGGACTGACTGTTCAGCGGCATAGGGATTGTTTAGTTTGGTTCTAGGAGGCCAGTGAGAACTGAGACAAAAGAGGAGAACTTAACAAGTAGGTGCATTTCAACCTACTACAAGTTTTGTGTGATTCTTGAGGACCACATTCGTGTTGGGAGTAATTGTGCATTATCCTATCATTGACTGAAGTTTCTTAAAGTTCTAAAAGTTGACTAAAGTCTAAAATTTAAGTCATCTGCATATAGAATGGCTTACTTCTTGGGTGGAATCATAAAGATAAAATACTTAATTGAAGGCTAGATGACTGCTTGGTGTGGATGTTGTAAAATAAATTCATACTAACGTTAGATGGTTCCGTTTAACCCTTCTGTTTTACATAAATCTTAGTCTGGTTAGGCTGATTTAACTAAGTACTGTGAGTTAGGTGGCTTTGACAACAGATTTATTTCTCACAGTTCTAGAGGCTGGGCCTCCACATTAGTGTGCAGCATGGCTTTCCTGTTCATAGATGGTGACAGGAGAGCTCTCTGGGTTCTCTATTTGAAGTGCACTTATTCCATTTGTGAGGGGTCCACCCTCATGACCTAATCACCTCACAGTTGTCTTAATTACAGTGCTGCCAATGTGACTTGAACATACAGAGTTAGAAGAGACAGAATACATTACAGTGTAGAATGGTCCCTACTCAGTCTAATATTCTTTTACTATTTATTATTGATGGCTGGATATAAACTTTCTCTGCCTAACATTTTCCATGCCTCACAGAGACTGTTAACATTAAGGAGAGTCCCCAGTCCAGCAAGAAAAAACAAGCATACCTCATTTCAGAGAGCACTTTATTTTTTTTAACTTAAGTTATAGAGACAGAATTTTTTTTTTTTTTAAAGATTTATTTATTTGTGCATACAGAGCTGGGGTACAGGCCAGAGGCTCAGGGGCTGCGAGAGGCTTCACCAGAGACATAGTGGGAAACAGAACAGACAGATCAATGAAGTAAACTGATGAGGGGAGCAGCGTGCGGGTCAGGAGAGGTCTGCCGCGCCATGTGGTCACCTCCGGAGCAGGCGGGAGTCGAACTCATGCGGAAGTGGCTTTAGCTTCTTAGTGTTGTGCTTTAACCCGCTGCGCCACCAGGGAGGGCCAGAGACAGAATTTTAAGAATAAAAC